CGCTTCTTTCTTCGTTTTTATAACAGGCGACGCCTCTTTCACAGTTTTTATAATAGGCCAAGCCAAGCTTATTCTTCATTTTTTATTATAGGCCAAGCCTCTTTTCTCGGTTTTTATAATAGGCCACGCCCCTTTCTTCATTTTTATAATAGGCCACGCCTATTTTCTCGGTTTTTATGATAAGCCACGGCCCTTTCTTCATTTTTAAAATAGGCCACGCCTCTTTTCTCGTTTTTTATAATAGGCCACGCCTCTTTTCTCGTTTTTTATGATAAGCCAAGCCCGTTTCTTCGTTTTTATAATAGGCCATGCCTCTTTTCTCGTTTTTTATAATAAGCCACGCCTCTTTTCTCGGTTTTCATAATAGGTCACGCCCTTTCTTCGTTTTTTATAATAGGGCACGTCTCTTTTCTCGGTTTTTATGATATGCCACGCCCCTTTCTTCGTTTTTATAAAAGGCCACGCCCCTTTCTTCTTTTTTTTATAACAGGCCACGCCCCTTTCTTCGTTTTTATAATAGGCCACGCCCCTTTCTCCGGTTTTTTATAATAGGCCACACCCCTTTCTTCGTTTTTATAATAGGCCACGCCTCTTTTCTCGGTTTTTATGATAAGCCACGCCCCTTTCTTCGTTTTTATAATAGGCCACGCCTCTTTTCTCGGTTTTTATAATAGGCCACACCCCTTTCTTCGTTTTTATAATAGGCCACGCCTCTTTTCTTGGTTTTTTTAATAGGCCACACCCCTTTCTTCGTTTTTATAATAGGCCACGCCTCTTTTCTCGGTTTTTATGATAAGCCACGCCCCTTTCTTCGTTTTAATAATAGGCCACGCCTCTTTTCTCGGTTTTTATGATAAGCCACGCCCCTTTCTTCGTTTTTATAATAGGCCACGCCTCTTTTCTCGGTTTTTATGATAAGCCACGCCCCTTTCTTCGTTTTTATAATAGGCCACGCCTCTTTTCTCGGTTTTTATAATAGGCCACACCCCTTTCTTCGTTTTTATAATAGGCCACGCCCCTTTCTTCGTTTTTATAATAGGCCACGCCTCTTTTCTCAGTTTTTATGATAAGCCACGCCCCTTTCTTCGTTTTAATAATAGGCCACGCCTCTTTTCTCGGTTTTTATGATAAGCCACGCCCCTTTCTTCATTTTTATAATAGGCCACGCCCCTTTCTTCGTTTTTATAATAGGCCACGCCTCTTTTCTCGGTTTTTATGATAAGCCACGCCCCTTTCTTCGTTTTAATAATAGGCCACGCCTCTTTTCTTGGTTTTTATGATAAGCCACGCCCCTTTCTTCGTTTTAATAATAGGCCACGCCTCTTTTCTCGGTTTTTATGATAAGCCACGCCCCTTTCTTCGTTCTTTATAATAGGCCACGCCCCTTTCTTCGTTTTTATAATAGGCCACGCCTCTTTTCTCGGTTTTTATGATAAGCCACGCCCCTTTCTTCGTTTTAATAATAGGCCACGCCCCTTTCTTCGTTTTTATAATAGGCCACGCCTCTTTTCTCGGTTTTTATGATAAGCCACGCCCCTTTTCTTCGTTTTTATAATAGGCCACGCCTCTTTTCTCAGTTTTTATGATAAACCACGCCCCTTTCTCCGTTTTAATAATAGGCCACGCCGATTTTCTCGGTTTTTATGATAAGCCACCCCTGTTTTCGTTTTTATAATAGGCCACGCCTCTTTTCTCGGTTTTTATGATAAGCCACGCCCCTTTCTTCGTTTTTCTAATAGGCCACGCCTCTTTTCTCGGTTTTTATGATAAGCCACGCCCCTTTCTTCGTTTTAATAATAGGCCACGCCTCTTTTCTCGGTTTTTATGATAAGCCACGCCCCTTTCTTCGTTCTTTATAATAGGCCACGCCCCTTTCTTCGTTTTTATAATAGGCCACGCCTCTTTTCTCGGTTTTTATGATAAGCCACGCCCCTTTCTTCGTTTTAATAATAGGCCACGCCCCTTTCTTCGTTTTTATAATAGGCCACGCCTCTTTTCTCGGTTTTTATGATAAGCCACGCCCCTTTTCTTCGTTTTTATAATAGGCCACGCCTCTTTTCTCAGTTTTTATGATAAACCAGGCCCCTTTCTCCGTTTTAATAATAGGCCACGCCTATTTTCTCGGTTTTTATGATAAGCCACCCCTGTCTTCGTTTTTATAATAGGCCACGCCTCTTTTCTCGGTTTTTATGATAAGCCACGCCCCTTTCTTCGTTTTTCTAATAGGCCACGCCTCTTTTCTCGGTTTTTATGATAAGCCACGCCCCTTTCTCCGTTTTAATAATAGGCCACGCCTATTTTCTCGGTTTTTATGATAAGCCACGCCCCTTTCTTCGTTTTAATAATAGGCCACGCCTCTTTTCTCGGTTTTTATGATAAGCCATGCCCCTTTCTTCATTTTTATAAAAGGCCACGCTCCTTTCTTCGTTTTGATAATAGGCCACGCCTCTTTTCTCGGTTTTTATAATAGGCCACGCCCCTTTTTCGTTTTAATAATAGGCCACGCCTCTTTTCTCGTTTTTTATGATAAGCCACGCCCCTTTCTCCGTTTTTATAATAGGCCATGCCCCTTTCTTCGTTTTTTATAATAGACCAAGCCATATATTCACTTGTAGGCATATACAGATGTAGGCAACTTGTGATTAATATGCCATATATTCACTTGTAGGTGTATACAGATGTAGGCAACTTGTGATTAATGTTCCATTTATTCACTTGTAGGCATATACAGATGTAGTCAACTTGTGATTAATGTTGCATTTATTCACTTGTAGGCGTATACAGATGGAGGCAATTTTTGATTAATGTGCCATATATTCACTTGTAGGCATATACAAATGTAGGCAACTTGTGATTAATGTGCCATATATTCACTTGTAGGCATATTCAGATGTAGTCAACTTGTGATTAATGTGCCATATATTCACTTGTAGGCGTATACAGATGTAGGCAACTTGTGATTAATGTGCCATATATTCACTTGTAGGCATATACAGATGTAGGCAACTTGTGATTAATGTGCCATATATTCACTTGTAGGCGTATACAGATGTAGGCAACTTGTGATTAATGTGCCATTTATTCACTTGTAAACATATACAGATGGAGGCAATTTTTGATTAATGTGCCATATATTCACTTGTAGGCATATACAAATGTAGGCAACTTGTGATTAATGTGCCATATATTCACTTGTAGGTGTATACAGATGTAGGCAACTTGTGATTAATGTGCCATATATTCACTTGTAGGCGTATACAGATGTAGGCAACTTGTGATTAATGTGCCATATATTCACTTGTAGGCATATACAGATGTAAGAAACTTGTGATTAATGTGCCATATATTCACTTGTAGGCGTATACAGATGTAAGCAACTTGTGATTAATGTGCCATATATTCACTAGTAGGGGTATACAGATGTAGGCAACTTGTGATTAATGTGCCATATATTCACTTTTACGCGTATACAGATGTAGGCAACTTGTGATTAATGTGCCATATATTCACTTGTAGGCGTATACAGATGTAGGCAACTTGTGATTAATGTGCCATATATTCACTTGTAGGCATATACAAATGTAGGCAACTTGTGATTAATGTGCCATATATTCACATGTAGGCATATACAGATGTAGGCATCTTGTGATTAATGTCCCATATATTCACTTGTAGGCATATACAAATGTAGGCAACTTGTGATTAATGTGCCATATATTCACTTGTAGGCGTATACAGATGTAGGCAACTTGTGATTAATGTGCCATATATTCACTTGTAGGTGTATACAGATGTAGGCAACTTGTGAATAATGTGCCATTTATTCACTTGTAAACGTATACAGATGGAGGCAATTTGTGATTGATGTGCCATATATTCACTTGTAGGCATATACAAATGTAGGCAACTTGTGATTAATGTGCCATATATTCACTTGTAGGTGTATACCGATGTAGGCAACTTGTGATTACTGTGCCATATATTCACTTGTAGGCGTATACAGATGTAGGCAACTTGTGATTAATGTGCCATATATTCACTTGTTGGCGTATACAGATGGAGGCAATTTGTGATTAATGTGCCATATATTCACTTGTAGGCATATACAGATGTAGGCAACTTGTGATTAATGTGCCATATATTCACTTGTAGGTGTATACAGATGTAGGCAACTTGTGATTACTGTGCCATATATTCACTTGTAGGCGTATACAGATGTAGGCAACTTGTGATTAATGTGCCATATATTCACTTGTAGGCGTATACAGATGTAGGCAACTTGTGATTAATGTGCCATATATTCACTTGTAGGCGTATACAGATGTAGGCAACTTGTGATTAATGTGCCATATATTCACTTGTAGGCGTATACAGATGTAGGCAACTTGTGATTAATGTGCCATTTATTCACTTGTAGGCGTAAACAGATGTAGGCAACTTGTGATTAATGTGCCATATATTCACTTGTAGGCATATACAAATGTAGGCAACTTGTGTTTAATGTGCCATATAATCACTTGTAGGTGTATACAGATGTAGTTAACTTGTGATTAATGTGCCATATATTCACTAGTTGGCGTATACAGATGTAGGCAACTTGTGATTAATGTGCCATATATTCACTTGTAGGCGTATACAGATGTAGGCAACTTGTGATTAATGTGCCATATATTCACTTGTAGGCGTATACAGATGTAGGCAACTTGTGATTAATGTGCCATATATTCACTTTTAGGCGTATACAGATGTAGGCAACTTGTGATTAATGTTCCATTTATTCACTTTTACGCGTATACAGTTGTAGGCAACTTGTGATTAATGTGCCATATATTCACTTGTAGGCGTATACAGATTATAGCAACTTGTGATTAATGTGCCATATATTCACTTGTAGGTGTATACAGATGTAGGCAACTTGTGATTAATGTGCCATATATTCACTTGTAGGCATATACAGATGTAAGCAACTTGTGATTAATGTGCCATATATTCACTTGTAGGCGTATACAGATGTAAGCAACTTGTGATTACTGCTGGGCCATGGACATCTAAGCTCCTCAAACCACTAGGCCTTCACCTCCCCCTTCAGGTAAGCCTTATTATGATCTATTGGGATCTATGATAAAAAATACAAAGGGCAGCATTTGAAAGTTTAAAGGAGCACATAAGCAATTAAGCCAATTGTGAGCAATTGTAATAGAAAGTATAGTAAGCAATGAGCATAATTGACAACATTAAAAAGCACAAATATAGCCACATTCTGTATTGGATAATATGTCAATAGAATAGGGAAATAGGATTTGTTCTATTAAACAATTTAGGGCCATAAAACAGATCTCCTGATTTAAATTGGAAGTTGGTAGGTATGTACATTGTATCATATGTTTGATAATTTTGTTTACGGATGCAACTTACTTTTCATAATTGTCCAAGATGGTGCTAGACAATTTCGCCAATTTACATGTACAATGTATATTAGTACACCAGTAGAAGAACATCTTCTTCGATCTAATAGTTCTATTTCAGTTTTTTCAACTGAAATAGCTGCATATCTAAGTTTTTTTTATTTTTGCAAACATGCCTGTTTATGCTTCACACCTTTGTAGTAGCATCACTGACAAGGAGGAATGGCTCCCAGAGTGCAACATCAATATTTTGTCCCATATATGGGCATGTGCTACAAAATTTGAATTCCGACAGCCGCCATTTTGTGAACTTGAACATTTGAATCTTGAATTCTAGTCTTATTTCCTAACGAAAAATTCCAAAACTCACAAGAAATGATCGAGCCAATCCTCCTTGATCACTGATTATTAAAGTTTGCTTTGGAACAATAAAGGGCTTGCTTGGAATGTTTACATATCTTCTGAGTTGCCAACTTTCATTGCAATGTCTCCAGATGCAATTGGCACATTTTTGTAACCCTATTGCAATATCCCAATCTTGTGAAGGTTGAATTGTTGATGAATTGAATTGTTGAATTAAGATGAACAAAAGACATTAAATGTACTGGTAAGACTCGTACTGTAATGTATGGGTTAGCCCATGGGCTAGAGCCCATGGTTAGCCTGAGACTAACATACCTAAATTATATATTAGTCTCAGGTACAGTAGAGACAACTGTATCTCAAACATTTGATGCAACATATTAATTCAAACATTCATATGTAAGGTGTTTAGTCCCTTTGTAGGCCACTGCAGTGACCGTTTGCTATTGGAAAGATAAAGGGCAAGCTATGTATAAATCTACGGGGTTTCCAGTTTTTATTGCACGTACTCCAGAAAATGATGATAGATATGATCAATATGGTCTTCCTTGCGAAGAATATCCCAACCACATGAAGGTTGTTGGTTTGTTACATCATGGGTTTTTAATTAATCTAGTTCTTGGTTACATGCATGTATGCTTGCTCACTCTGCACACTTTCATTTGTTGCTTTTGTCACACTGCACTGCAGACCTGCCAACCTTTGACAGCAGTAAAAATTATATGGAAGCCATTTTCAGAAAACTATTTGATTTTGAAAAGCCTGGTGTCATATTTTACAAACAGTTTGGCAGGTATGCATTGTGTTAATTAACCTTGTGCTTATCCCTCTGTAACATATAATAATCATGAGGTTGGATTACATAAACAGCTTAAAGATGTTTTAGCTGTATGCAGTGAATTACATAAACAGCTAAAAGATGTTTTAGCTGTATGCAGTGAATTACATAAACAGCTAAAAGATGTTTTAGCTGTATGCAGTGAATTGCATAAACAGCTTAAAGATGTTTTAGCTGTATGCAGTGAATTGCATAAACAGCTTAAAGATGTTTTAGCTGTATGCAGTGAATTACATAAACAGCTTAAAGATGTTTTAGCTGTATGCAGTGACAGTTTGCTATTGGAAACATAAGGGGCAGGCCTTGTACAATACATCCATGGGTTTTCCAAGTTTCAAGGCAAGGGGACTAGAAAATGACTACAGGTCTGATATGTATGGTGTCCCTAGTGAAGAATATCCAAATCATATGAAGGTTGGTTCACCAAAATCCCTTCACCAAAGCTTATACGCTTCAATCTGCCTCTTTGAATGAGAGGTTTAACACATATCACAATTTATTTATTTATTTATATAGGCTTTTAACTCACAATTAACATCCAATAGTAAATTTGAAGTTTCACATGCAAATAAGCAAGTTAACACCTACCCAAAGACCCAGATTATACCTTTATAAACATCCAGTTTACATCTTCATTTACACTAGATTTACACCATCATCAATAATATGTATCAATGAAGTCTTATCCTACAAAAATGGACAGGACTCGATTATAATTGGTTCCAAAATTTCATACTGTCATTACTTTCGTTTGAAATTAAAAAACATTGAAATTCTTGAAATTTGGAAAACTTTGGAAAACAGAGGCTAGAGTCATTGACCAATTTTACAATGTTGATGCTGGTAAGTTCTTACTGAGCGACCCATTGTCATGTACATGTAGCTGCCAGTCTTTCATGGGAGTTCTGATTTGAAATGAATACCATATACATACACTGTACTAATAAAGGCATTAAATTATGTGACTTCAGTTCAATTCTGATTGGGTAGCTAAATGGTGATCAACCCAACTCTTATCTGATTGGGTTACACTGGATCAAAAGATTATCACAAATTCAAAGAATGTTGAGGAAATTCTCTGTGATTTGGATGCAGAAACAAATCACTGGTGGAAACTGAAAATTCTCTTTCTGTCAGAATTTTTATTTCATACAAAAACCTCACAAATTATAGTGTTTATGTACCCTAATTCATCTATTAATCTTTGGATTCAGAGTGTACTGTAGTTATCACACAATAGGATTGTGCCTAACTGTTGTGGCAATAGTGTATGAACTCTTTTTTTTATGGTAACCAATAGTTGCTACCCTCTTCCATGGGCATTCAATATATTGAAAGCCCATATGCCTCTTCTCATGAAATATGGTGTCTAAAGGTCCCAGGTATCTTTTGGCACACATGCTTCATTTGTTCATTTAAAAACACAATTGCTTTTTGCATGGCTTTTATTTCCCTATTTCTCTTTAGAAACCTGCAACGCATGATCTCAGATATCCGATTTGTCCTCTTACTTCAATGCAATTCATTTATGTATTGAATTATTTGTTTTCAGCCATTATCTATACATGTCCTCTATTGGAAAGTCAAAAATGCAGATCTTTTTACTCCAAAAGTGTTTCCGACTTTCATTGATGTTGACAAAATGGTGTATGGAGTACCTTTATTTGAGTACACACAGCATTTAAAGGTTGTTTTTGCCGGGATTGTTTAAGGTGCCATGGTACTTAACAGGAAATGACAAAACATGAAGTGAAAACACCATGACCTTTCCTAAGCTCCTACTTTTAGCTCTTTTTAAGTAGTAATTTCATCATGTTTAGGGTCATTCTGACCATTGACATTGTGATCCTGGTCATGTAAATGATATGTCGAACTATAGTTAAACTGACTGGAGGTCAAAACAGAACTCTGTTATCTTGGTTCAAAAAATTTTGAAATCCAGCATGGTTTTGTCACTTTCTGTTTTGTCATTTCTTGTTAAGTACCACGGCACCTTAATTTACAGCTTGGACCTACATGTACATGGATTTCCCCCTACCCACCCACCATGCAAGGTCTGATTTTCATAAGCATCTGAAGGATCTGATAAAGGATCCTCTTTATAATCTTTTTTAAGTTTAAGAATATATTCACATTCAATATTCTAACAATATCACTATTAATTCATCTTTGATAGTTTGGAGGCACTCTAATCTTATATTGATTGGATGCAATCAAATGTGACCTGTTTGTTCAATATCACTTTGGATGCACCTGAACACATTAACTCCTTGCTAAATACAATATGATATGGCATAATGGTTATGGATGCTCTGGGGGCACTTGGGGTGACGGATCCTTTCCAACATGGGGACATCAAAGTATCGTTCATTCGAGATTTTTTCGAGTTAAAGATCCTGAACTGGAAGTCGTATTTCAATTATGAGAAAATATCCTATTTGATATCAATATCATTGAATTTGGAGAGCTTTTATGAGAGAGAAATTGAGAAATCAACCCTACATGGTAGTGGTGTAGGTCCAGATGGCATATTTAACAATCAAGTTTTTGCCTTGGTGTTATAGATAATTTGGTTGCCTTGGTTGTGGTTGTAGCATTTCATCTAGCTTATTGAACTTATGTACATAGAATAACTCTTATCAGATTGGAATATAACTAATCACACTCTTTATAGCACTTTTTAGAGCTTGCACTTAAAGGGGCAACAAGGACTGTAGAGATAAAATTCTTATTTTTTATTTTTTCTGAGCTATCAGGTCAATATTTGGCTTAACATCTTCTTTGACATACCTATCTTCTTAATATGTATAGATAAACTATCAATTTCAGCATAAAGAGGTGTAAATTCAGTCCAAAGCTTCTATAAAGGGAGTCCCACTTATAGATTTTTAAGATCCACCACATTTCAAGAGGAGTATCAGCTGAAATAATGTTCATCCAGGGGGTTTCTTTGGAGATTATAAAAATATATGTTAGTCTTGATGAAATATCCAAACTTTAATCTATTTTGACACTGGTTGATGATCGTTGAATGCCCCTGATGATAATGTCACTTACAAATATTTATTGCAGGTTGTGTAGACCGTTGATGCTTGATTTAAAGCAAAAACATTGACTTTTGCACGTTGGTGGCGTTGCGCCTTTTTTAATAGATCTTATACCTAAGAAGAGAATCGGCTAAAAAATAATCGTAGAATCCCAGCCCATTGCCAGGTATGGTCAGTATATACTGACAGGTATACTTTCAGTCTATACTGACAGGTCAACTTTTAGTCTAGTTTCAGTATACTTTCAGTATATGTCCCATGTTAAAATTCCATTGACAGGTATGTTTCAATTATGGTAATTAGACTTACCAGTATGGTTTCAGTATACTTTCAGTATAAACCAATGGGTATACTTTCAGTATACTTTCAGTATATACATACCAGTATGGTTTCAGTATAATTCAGTATAGGTATACCTTCAGTATGGTATCAGTATATACCTATAGGTCGACATTTAGTCTATACTGACAGTCTTAACATGTCAGTCTGTAGACTGATATGGATGAATATGACTCTACCAATGAGATACCTTAAATTTTAAATCATTCTGCAGATGAGAAAAATTAGTACATGTAATTTGGATAGCAGTCTTATTTTCTAGCATTACATTATCTAATTAATTAGATGCAGGATTATGAAGACTTCTAAAAGACATACCACAAATAAATTAATATTCTTATATTAACTATATTCAAGTTTTATTCATGATGTATTTTTGATGCAAAGTTTTAATTTTCAAATTTTAACTATTTCTTTTTTAAATTTTACTATGACTGTATCTTTCATATCTTTCTCTAATTTTTTGTGTTTTCAATGTATAAAACATTCAATGTAATTATGAGCAGGAATGCTCCCCTGCCACCTAGTCTGGTAGGACAGGTTGTGGAAACAAATGGTCATAAAATAGAACTTACATATGAATAATTGTTGACTTATAGTTTTATCATGAATTTTGCATTTGCCGTTTATATTATAAAATGATAAAGTAAAACTGGTATACGTTCAGTCTAATCATTATTTATCAGAGTTTATTTGGTATGCTTTCAGTATACTATTGAAAATAAAAAAAATAGTAAAACTGGTATGCTTTCAGTATATTCAGTCTATTCAGTATCTTCATACCTATTTACAGAACTTTATTCAGTATATGTACCTAATAATTGGTATGGTATCAGTCTGGTATCCGTATATACCTATCAACAAGGTATACTTTTAGTATACTTTTGGTATAGACTGACTATACCTGGCAATAGGCTGGGATACGCGACATATTTTACCATACCGTGCGCCTATTTGTTTATTTTACCATACCGTGCGCCTATTTGTTTAGCAATTAAATCATAAACCTTTTCTTGAAAAAATAATTTTTGCAGATTTGTTCATTTTTCTACCAGAAATTGCATCCTCCCCCCTCCGTCCCATTTTCACGATCACCGGGTGTGTTATGCCACAATCGCACCCCCTGACTGAAAACCACCCGTGACATCATATGTAAAACCATAAATTAACTAGACCTAGAAATGATAAATTCTACAAATAATTCATTTAAGCTTATACTGTTAAGGTCATAAATTACATAGACTTTGTTATCTGAGACTAAAAGGAATTACATTTAAAATATTTGAGATTTGGTGATTTAATTCATTTTCAAGTATTGTAGTATCACATATGGTTCTGTAATGTCATACAGTCGTGTGCTTCTGTGAGTGTGATGTCATGATTTCAACGTAACTTACATGTCATATTACAGGTATGTTTGCACAGTGGCACTGACATAGATGATCCAGAAGATAGAGATCTCATACAAAATGGTGATGATGTCGCTAAAACCTGTGACTTTGTTGACAAAGTTTTCCCAGGTCTAGAAAATAAGCCAAGTATAATTGAACGTTGTATGTACACTGTAAGTGACTCTTTATATACATGTATGATGTTACAAAACATTACAGGAATTAGATTATAATTTTTGAATTAAAATATTGTAATTTAATAACAAATAGAGAAATGAGTAATCTCAGTTTAATGTGTAAAACTTCAAACAATTTAAAAGGATTTATTTGCCCAGGACTCCATAAATTTTGATTCTAAAAATATCCATAAATCTGTTGTAAAATTATGGAATGCATGTAACAATGTTTTATTTTACATACCTAGCGACACATTTGTATGTCAAGTCAATGGGAAAGTGAAATATGCCCAAATATAGAGCCTCCCAAGGTCGGCCAATATTGGGAGAACTAATTATAGTGTGTCCTGGTTGGATGCAAAGTGATATATCAAGTTTAACAATGTGTGAATAATTGAAGATGTATTGTTTCAGGTCACTCCAGACAATAGTTTTGTCCTAGATGTTCACCCAAGATGGAACAACATCATTATTGGAGCTGGATTCTCAGGTATGCATATTTGTGATTTAAAAGCTCCATTATTCATTTATCAACTGAATCTCTGATTTAGATCATAATGGAGTTTTCATGTCAACACCCAAAACTCAAGGAGGTATGGTTCCCAGGGTTCCAGTTCGATATTCAGCCTTGATTGATGATAATAATGAAAATGTAGCCATTTTCGGACATTATAATAGAATTTAAATTTGTAATCAGTGATCCAAAAGATTTGAAATCAAATCACTTCTTGGGTGTTTTGAATTATTTTGTTTGGAAATAAGAATTCACGATACAAATTCTGAAGAGAAAAATGTCAGTTGTTTGATGCTGAATTTTGTAATCACGACAAGACTCCATATATGGAAAAACATCAAGTTGGAACCCTAGGAGCCAATTCTCCTTGTTCAAATCTGGTGACTCTATTTGTTATTAGCCATCATTTTTGAAATTGATATTGAACTACTTTAAGGAATTGCAATAAGTTGCCAGATGGTGAAATTTTTAGATGCGCTGCTTCTCCACACCGGAATACCCTGACAACGGTAAAGTCAGATACCATTGTCACAAATGGCGGACATAACCGCCGCTTCAACTCTTTAATCACTTGGTCCTTGTTTCATTGGACTTTATCGCGCTAATACTTTGCATGTATTAAGCATGTGTAATGATATATTGTATGAAATCCCAATTTCTATCAAATGGGGTCGTGAATTGCTACAACACAGCGTCTTCGATATCATCATGACAATGGAATCTGAAATAATTTACTTTGACAACGGCATATGGTAAGATGCGGGATTATGGTGGATGTATTGCATTGGAACATAGGAAAATGATTGGTAAATAGACACTTTACCGTTGTCTTTACATATAATGTTGTCAAATATTACCGTTCGACCCGGGGTTCGACCCCGATTTTACATCACATTTGACCTACACCTACTGTTGTCATTTCCATTTCTACAGTATCCATTGTCCTGTGTCATGTTTTGATCTGTAAAATTAAAGACTTTATTTCGATGGTAGAACATACTATGTTTTTAACTATGATCGGTAGAAAAACACTTTGAATGATTGCTGTACCAAATGAATTTAATCTAGTTGCTCTATTAAACATACAGTTCATGAAAATTTAATTGAAGCAATGGTCATCATCAGTGTCCCCCATTTGTGACAATGGTGTCTGACTTTACTGTCAGGGTATTCCGGTGTGTTCTTAATTGTTATCAAGTTTTTATGTCACCACATTATTATATTCTCAAACTTTTTTGTGGACAGTGTTAAGCAGTTGGTGTTTGTCACAAATGGTGTTTGACGGTTGGCATCTGTAGCAAATGGCAGGTGGTGACATATTGCATGTTAATGCCTTGTTTGTATTTATATTGCAGGAACAGGATTCAAACTTGGACCAGTAGTTGGGAAAATCCTCACTGACCTAACCTTAAAGAGACCAGCAAAATACGACCTTTCACCATTTAAAATATCCAGATTCCTCAATACAACTGTACCAAAGTCACAGATCTAAAACAGGAACCTATCAAAAGGAATTTACCTGGAGCAAGATCATATCAAATGTCACAGATCTAAGCACAGGAATATCAAATATCACAGATTTAAGCATGGCAATATCAAAAATCACAGATCTAAGCATTGCAATATCAAATATCACAGATCTAAGCTTGACCATATCAAAAATCACAGATGTACAGTGTAGATCTACTTGTACTACTACACTGCATAGTCACCAGAGTTTGCCGCGAATAGGCCCATGGATGTTTATTTGAAAGAGAGGTGTATGAAAATGTTTTTTCCCCATTTATAAAGGCCCATGGGCATTCATTTTGAGGACCTCTCAATTAACATTCGAGAAAAGGGCTAAAAAACAATGTAATAAGTTTTTCCCCTCTTAATAAAGGTTTGTTTTGAGTTCTGTGGAAAATTAATTCTCTGTGCAAAATAAACACACAGTGCGCTTATTCGGGACAAACTCCAGTAGATGGGTGCATAAAAACAGAATATTCATATGATTAACTTAATAATTAATACACTGAATAATTTATTTACAAATAAAAAAATTCATATTGCTTTATATTATCTTTTTTTACTTTATTCAAGTTGAAAGAAGTTTATCCATGTTTACTGGAAAAAAAATTTAAGAAATAGTATGACTTTTTCTCTGTTCAACGCTCCAATGTTTATAAAAAGATCAGAACAGTCTTACATGCACCATCAGCAATCTTAATAATAAAAATATAGAAAAATGTGCCTTTACTTTGCACTTACATTTAGACTACTTATATGTAAGCAATTTTAATCAAAGTTTATCAATAGCACACATGAACATGACTAATGCAAACTGAATGCTGATATGATTTCGTGGTAGCCTGTTTTTGACACAGAGATAAATTCCAAACTATTTCTTCGCAAAATATTGATCTCTCTTAAGTTGATTCACTTCATGATAGATATTGAATGTTACAATAATGAAAAAACCATAACATAGGCTATTGTTTTGACAAAGTATCTTTTTAGTACACTGGATTAAGAATTTGATAAGAGAGACTAACTTGTGTTTTTAATGTATAGTAAAACTTTCTGCCACAGTCAGTGTAATGGATTTTTTATTAGGCTATTTCCTTTCATTCATATATTAGTATGTAATTTATTATGAATACACAACCAATAAAAAACCCATATCAAGTCATATTTACAATAACTCAGATGCGAGTAGGTAGTTACCACCACCAGGTGGCAAATTCAGTCAGATAACATAACTAGAAAGTGAATGTATGTGAAGTAAAACAAAATGTAAAACTTCTACAAGGAGATTATGATATCACTTTGACTGCATTTTGAATATACCTCGTATAACACCCTGTACAGAAAATTAAAAATAACTTTGACAATTCTTTCATATGCCTCAAAAGGCATGATAAGAATGGCAATTTATGTAAAATAGGTGAAATTTTAATAAATAATTAAAATAAAATTACTGCTTATGTTTCAGTCACATTAACTAAAGGGAGAATCAAAGAAAATTAGGGAAATTGAGCAACATGTTTTTATGTTGTACATGAATGTGTAGTGTCATACATTAAGCCTCAGAGATTGGTGTCCCCCTCTCAATTGATTTTTCAGAGACCTTATTAAAACTATTTTCGTATACAGTATACAGTTTCGTATACAGTTTACACTCTATTGGCCAAGTTAAGAAGGGGAGAACTTATCCCTGGAGAGAGGATCATAATTCTATATGTTCACATACATTTTGTAAAAACATGTAGTTAAACCTCCCTTATAAAGGGTCATTTGGGGGTAATATTGTCCCAATATATTCCTTACAGTCTCGTATGTATTATCTCCCAAAAGATTTCAATATTTTAAAATTAAAATAATCTTTGGAGAAATTTGCTCACGAGACCTGACACTACCTTTCAGTATTTGAACACACTACATTTGAAAAATATCATGACCCGTCATTCTGATACTCAGACCATCTCTGCAATGAACAGAACGAAAGGAAACTGAGAGAAGGCTGTGATATCTCATGATGATGACCCGTTCACATACAGTAAGTTCTCATGCCTTTCTAAAAAGTCCAAATTCTAATTTTGGACATTTTAGCCCACGAAACTTCAATATTGTTATTCAACCAGATATCTCAATTCTATTTTAGAAAATAAAAGAATTATCCTCAACTTATTAATAATGCTTCAAACGAACACTCTCTATCCCTCCTAATTTCTTTATTAGTTTTAGAAGAATCATTGGATTTCTCAATATTCAAGGCTTGATACTGTATTTCAAGAAACCCTCTTAAGTCTAAGACCTTATTACACTGAGGCCATTATTCTTGAAACAATAACTAGCCTTATGACTAGGACAAGTGTAGGACAAATGGATAATGTCCATTGCTTTAATTTGACGGTTTTTTTTGGTGGATGGATAAAAACTGCCAATCTATCTATTGTGAAGAGTTTCTGTTTCATTGAATGTGTCACCTTATTCCACTCGGCTAGTTGAATATTGTAGCTGTTGTCAATCTGGTCAGTTGGCATTATGTTTGTCTCACTTTCCAGTATACTGAAAGTAAAAGAATAAAAAGAGTAAATGATGAATAAGAAAACAATGGAAAGCTTTAAAAAATAAAAAAACTGAAAGTAGAATTTAAAGGGGCAACAAGGTTTAGAGAGAAAATTCAATTTTTTACTTTTTCTGAGCTATCAGGGCAACATTTGGCTTAACATCTTCTTTGACATACCTATTTTCTTAAAATGTATGGATGAACTATCAATTTCAGCACTAAGAAGTGTAAATTCAGTTCAAAGCTTCTATAAAGGGAGTCCCACTTATAGATTTTTAAGATCCATCACGTTTCAAGAGGAATATCAGCTGAAATAATGTTCATCCAGGGGCTTTCTTTGGAGAAAATAAAAATATATGTAAATATATGTATGAGAACTTGTAGATGATTTTGAAAAAAGTTCAGAAGTAACTCTAAACAGTATTTGTTAAGTTATTGGAAGTTGTAAGAATTTATTACAGATGTCAACCACCAACCATCAACTGTCAGACGCCAACCACTGTCACAAAAACGGAAACCATTACACTATGTCACCACTTTTTGGTCATGACATAATAAACTGATCCAAGTAAACCAACCTTCTTAACCACCCATTCACAATCTTCTATGGCCCTCTGGATAATCTGCTGTATTCTCTCAGCCCCTACTTCATCACTGTGGCTTCGGTAGCTCTACAATTCATAAATAGTACTTTAATATCTACATACAGATAACCAAGGGTGTAGCCAAGCATGAGGCAGGAAATGAAAATTACCCCCCTCCACTCTGTTCACTCCCCCTCCATTCAATTTCAATTTATTAAAATTATTTTTCATTTTTTATTTTTGGTGTTTCAGACAATTTTCTAAAATTTAAAGATTGTATCATTCAAAGCAATTTATTGGGCACATTTTCTGAAAAATAAAATATTATCTTCAGTGACCTTTCCTTAAAGCTCCTACTTTTAGCTATTTTTCAGTCACATTTTCAGAGGGCTGAAAAAGTTATTTCATCATGTTTAGGGTCATTCTGAACATACAGTATGTACATTGTGATCCTGGTCATGTAAATGATATGTGAAACTAGTTAAACTGACGTGAGGTCAAAGCAGAACTCTGATATCTTGGTTCAACAAATGTTTGAAATCCAGCATGGTTTTGTCACTTGCTGTTTTGTCATTTCCTGTTAAAGGGGCAACAAGGACTGTAGAGAGAAAATTCAAAAATTTTATTTTTTCTGAGCTATCAGGTAAATATTTGGCTTAACATCTTCTTTGACGTACCTATTTTCTTAAAATGTATGGATAAACTCTCAAGTTCACCATTAAGTAGTGTAAATTCAGTTCAAAGCTTCTATAAAGGATGTCCCACTTATAGATTTTTAAGATTCACCACGTTTCAAGAGGAATATCAGCTGAAATAATGTTCATCCAGGGGGTTTCTTTGTAGATAATAAAAATATATGTTAGATGGCCCCCCCTGCACTAATTGTTGCAGGCTTTGTATAAAAAAAACTTCATACCCACCTACCCACCTACATGGAACATCGGATACAGTCATTGAAGGGCGAACCCAGCTGGGATGCAACTTGCTATCAAGGGTCGTTACAAATTCATCTATAATTCATAACTAAGATTTAATAAACTAAGATCTTAAAAATTGAACCCTACAAAGACTGTATCATGTCCCACGTATGTGGATAGGTGGGTATGAGGTAGGAGGTTTTTAATACACAGCCATTGTTGCACCTTTAAGTACCACCTTAATGAGAACCGGATAATTATTTTCTATGGCCTTAAAAATCATACAAGGGACAAAGTGCAATAGAGGCCCGATAGAGGAGGCTAGTCGACTAAGCTTAGATCAAGGTAAATTTGTACATTTCTATGATATCAGTGCATTTCGTGACCCATATTACACTTCTTCATACAATGGTAAACAATCTAGATATGAAATTGAATCCATTAGGCTAGTCTAGCCTAACTTAAAGAGCTTCAAGTTCAACGATTTCCGTTCAGTTTTTTATTGAGAATTTCAGCGTTTAGGCCTACCTGTCTGATAGCGTGTTTATAGTGATCCTGTGCATCTTTCGGTAGTTTCCTGACATTCTGTAATAGAAACTTGTAAAGTCGGAGTGGTGTTGTGATTGATTTGACCACTAGCTTCGACATAATTCGCGATTTTCTAAACCATTTTACAACACGGTTTCCTAATCAGTTAATAGTACGACAATTATGCGAACGCCTTAAAATTACGTGCGGAATTTTGTTCGGAATTTTATCAAGATTATTTTATTGACCGTATTCTCGGCTTCTCGCTAGGCTCGCTAGTGTAAAATCATCCAAACGATTGCAAAAGGGTATTGGCTTGCCCAAATGGTACTACGAGTCTAGAATACAGGGCTTTGGCATATCAAAATACTCTCTAAATAATGTCAACGTCCAGCCAACTTTGTTGGGTATCGCTTTAACTTGCTTGGTCTGTGTGTACGAGCTATTAGTTGGCAAGTTTAAAACCATAGGCAAAGGTCGATAGAAATATTAATTTTAAATAAAGATGACATGGTAATCGATCTGTGTTTATCTATGTTTCTCTTTGAGAAAAGATAATACTTGACTTCTTTTTGTGCTGCCATCTTTATATCGGCCCAGAACCTATGTTTAAAACATAAAATGTCTCTGGGGAGATCGTGCCCCCCAGGATCTCCTAAAAAATGGGGATACGATTATGCTATATACGATTGAAGTTTTTGAACTTTGTTTCTGTTGCTTTCATTTCGAGGTAGAAAGTAGACTAGTCAGTCTATATAAACTAAGTTTGTTGTATCAAATTGGAGTGTTCATTTTATAGACGGTATATGTGTCAAAGTGCAAAATCTTGGGGGCCAAAAGTTGGGGCCTTCAAAAATCAAACTACAAAATTGGCGGAGCTAAATGTTTAAGAGACTTACGGATAGGCCCTAATGCAGTCGCGTACTATTAAGAGTCGAGACAAAATGTAAATTGAATTTAATCATATATTTTGATCCTTCAATCGTACTGTATATAGCATAATCGTGTTATCCAGAACCCAACGGAAAAATCACATTTATACGAGAATTTTAACACTATTCTACCATTTCTGTTTCCCCATTTCCAAGATCTTAATTTTAAACAAGACATTCGACTCATTTATCCGATAACTATGTTAGATCTAAAGATACAGAATTTATGTCCAATAAGGTTATATTATAAATTACTAATTATATAAGAAATTCTAAAAAGCACGCAAAGTATTTTCTACGAATTGATTACATACTCACAACTACTATTTCTATTTTGTTTCTTAAAGTCAAAAGAGCGTATAGTTTTTAAAGCTGCACTATGGCTTAATTAAGACGAAAAAATAAAAAAAAAGTAGTCATTGAAACGTGTTACTCATACACTAGCTCAAATATGACACAAAGTTTGATTTGCTTTTATATTGAACCAAGAAAAAAGCAACTCACATAGAAAAAAGCATTTGTAGTTCAGAGATCATTAGACATGCATGTACATGTTAAACAAAGTGCATGTTTTAAATTACTATCGATTTAAAAGATGGCGACACTTCTATAAAAATGAATGTATCATGTAATACAAACAACTCTGCCATCCTTTTCAATGACATTGATAAAAACTAATGATACATGTATATAAAGCTTGACATTTATTATAAGCTTTGATGTGGTCCATTTGAGCTGTGTCAAATGAAAGATAAGGTTCTTATCAACACATTGGACATACTATGAAATTTAAATGTAAGTCTTTATTTTGCCCAAAAATGTTGAAAATTCCCAAAGTGCGCCTTTAAGTTAAGTAAAAACACCACATATGGCAATTTTGAGTTTATAGGCCATTTTCTAGAAAAAAGCATTCAAATTATAGCCAAAAATATTAAGTTTCAACCACTTATTTCGAATTCATGGTAATGTAATGGCGACCTACTTTCTACATTGTCATCTCTTTTACAGGCTTTGGATCATTAGACAACCATATACAATCATACTGCCGGAGGGTATGAGTTCACCTGCAACTGAATTGGTAGCTGTTGTGACAGGGGGCAATGGATTCCTCGGCCAGCACATCATCCAAGCATTGATGAAGCATTGTGCAGAAATAAGAGAGATAAAAGTGTTCGACAAAATGATATACAAAGATAAACTGGGTAAGGGTAGTGGCGAAAAATTGAGTTGGGAATTAAGGAGAATTCTCCAATACAATATCTGCAAAACAGACCAACTTTGCTTTTGATATTTTTACACTCAAACTAAATTGATTTATTTTCTTTGATCGCAACACAAAGTCACCTTGGTGAACAAAACCAATAATTGCGATATTATATTCCAGAGCCTTTCAAACAAAGAATGATGAACAGCTGCATCACTAAATCTCACCAATGCGTGTCACGGGGTGATCCTCGTATACTCTCAGTCGTAGGAGACATCACAGATTACGAGTCAGTGAGCGAGGCATGTCGCGGGGCAGATGTTGTCTTCCATGTACTATCATTGGTTGATGCCTCACTTATTCCCGATAGAGATGCTTTGGAGAGGATTAACGTTGATGGTAAGTACTTGGAATACTGGAAAACTGTTGTGAAATATAGACTGATCGTAAGTTGCCAAGGTCAGGGCCATTGCTCATTTTGTCTCGAGAGAGTTCGCTCAGATACATGTAATGATCGCAACATGGTGGGCCCGGGGATTGTGGCTCTGATGCTCTGCTGATCTATTACCATGATGGTCATGGTGACACGTTGGCATTACATTACTCCGATAAACTCCATACTCATCGATCACCCTCAACAAATTTGACTTGATCTTAATATATATATACAGTCTGACAGTTTCTCGTCCTATGCATTGTGTTAAATAATTGTCTTTTAACAATAAGACTAAATACGATTGTCAAAAATGACACAACACAGGTATGTTACGTCCGAAGATCATAAACTCACTGTGTAGATCAATGTACCTTTTGATGAAACAAAACCAATCTAGTTTTCTCATATATGAACATTTGACCTCTTAATCTGATTGTATTTCAGGTACACTTAATGTTGTAAACGCCTGTTTGGAGCACAATGTCCGACAATTGATATATACGTCAACTGTAGATGTTGTTATTGGATACGAAGACATCATTAATGGCACTGAGACGAACACGCGATATCCAGATGAATTCCTATATGATTCGTATGCAGAAACGAAAGCACACGCTGAAAAGATAGTACTGGACGCCAATGGAAAAGGTACATGACATGTATACCATGCGACGGTACATTTCAGATTGTGTAACGTACTTGTACTCCACTCGATTACTCTGTTAGATCGTTTAGGAAATCAGACAAAATGCCAGAAAAAGAAAAATTGGACCTTCGAGGTTCCGACATTTTGTTACCGAAACGATCAGCGTAATCGAGTGGAGCACCACTGAAACGGCAATTTATGGAATGATTAAAACTAGTTCTTTCTGATATTATTAAAATCCGTGTCATACTGACCAGAAAAAAGTAGACCGTTGCTTTTCATTTTGCTTCCAGATAAATATGTTTATAATATATATTCCAAGAGGAAGGTACATGTCATTTATATGGCGACTTAATATGACCATTGTAGCATCTCCCTTATTTGATCATATAACCAATTAAACAATGACTGATTAGAATAGCTAGCTCTCGCTCCTATTGATGTCTTAAGTAAGCTAAATCACGAATTTTTAAAATATTTGAAAATCTGATTTTCAGGTAGATTGAACCAGTTGAAGACACTGTCGCTACGCCCGCCAGTCATATACGGTGAAGCTGACACACATTTCATAACCCAAATGTTGCATTCAGCTAAATCCTTTGGCGGAACACTTATACCATTTGGAGATGGAAAGACGAAGTGGCAGCAGGCATACGTTGGAAACGTAGCATGGGCTCATATATGTGCGTATAGGGCGGTAAAGAATGAATATGAGAGAGAGTCTCACTCTGGGATACTCGAATCATCGATGACGTCACCTGAAATCGTCTCAGGTGAAGCATATTTTATACCCGATGATACCCCTCTTAAGAACATGTTTACATTTGGGGAACAATTTTTTCACCATCATGGAATGATTATTTCGAGGTATCACATTCCGTGTTGGCTAGTGTATTTTCTTCTGGTTTTATTTAGAATGATTCTGATAGTTGTAGGCTATATTATGCAGGTACATCAGAATACCCCGATATCCTTAGGGGCCGTTAGAAACGTTGGATATCAGAACACCTTCTTTAGTAGCACGAAGGCAAAGTTGAGACTCGGTTATACTCCGATATTTAGTTACGATGAATCGCTTCAATTATCTATGGTATTTTACAATAATTTAGAATTATAAATGCTATTTAGCAGGTGTTCTGCCATCTTTATTTACAAAATTTACGACGGTTATTCCAACAACAATCTGATAAAAGAAATCGAAGAATCTAGGAATACTAGACATAGTAGTCAATGACTCAATGTTGCACAACGTCATGTATAAGGGGGGGGGGGGCATCAAACGTTCAATGTCTGAGAGGAAACTAAATAAATCTAGTTTTGAGTTTGACCCCCTCCAAAACTAAATACCATGAAAGTTGATCGCGGACTTTTCACGTGTTTTCCTGGACTTGGACTTTCATGGACTTTGGACAACATATTTAGAATTCTTAAAACATGTGACAACAACAGTAGGCATAATATTCCAATACTACTAGTGTTGAAAATGAGATAGCTAAATCAAATGGCTTTGACCCCCCCCCCCCATCTAACTAGATTTATTTAGTTTCTTTTCAGACATTGAACTTTTGATTCCTCCCTTAAGCACCAAGACCCTAGCATGTCGTCGAAAGAAGAACGGTTACATAGTACTATACAGTATATATACATGTACACATTACCTTATTTAAACTTATTTCTTTCTGGGGCAAACTGTAATTTTTGGCTCACACCGTGAGCCTATGGGATCGACCAGGCGTCCGTCCGTCCGTTGGTCCGTCCGTCCGTCAACATTGGCCGCACAAATTAAAACTGCTATTCGGATTGAGTTATATCCACATTCATTTTATGCATATCCATAATGACTATTTGACCTATCATCGCCATTTCCCAAGTTCGCCCGGTTTCCGAGAAATTGCTGATTTTGACGTCAAAAAGTCAACTTTTCTTTAAATACTCGACACTTTGTTGAAGTAGATCTTTCAAATAACTTGTAGTAGTTGCTGTATATGCAACTTATGTCCTCTGATGATTTCAAAGCTCTTGGAATTACAGTTTTTGGTGTTTACTCACAAAATGTAGGACTTTGTTATTTCAGGGAACTTTCTCATGTATATCGTCAATGGCAGGTCAGCATCAAATTTTTACTGTTTTGAGATATTTGACGTCAACAACCAGTAAAAATAAGTTATTTTTCAACTTGCCTAAATTTTTCAAATGGATTATTTGGATGTTAATTTTGGTCACTTTAATCACAAAAGACCTACTGAGCTCTGAATAAGTAAAATGTTCAAGGTTAAAGGTCCTCAAACTAGGTCACAAACTGTGCTATCTAAGTTTCTCAAAGTTCGAGACTACAAATCAAAATCAATAATTTTGTTTGAAAATCGGGATATACATTCATCTGAAGGTTCTACACTGTATGAGCACAGGACCGTGGGTCCTTTTTTATTTACTATTCAGAGGCTATTTTAGAACTCAGTGCTCAGCTTCAGATAATGGTAGGAAATACATAATACTGGATAACAGTAGTAATGTCAAATGACCAAATAATGTTACAGTTATAATTCTTTTGCTGATGTGGTACATATCTTGATGCATACAGTAATATGAACAGATGATGGAGTGTCAATATGATATGACCAGGATAATCTCCAAATCCTCAAAATCTCATTATACATTATACATGGGTGCAGTGCAACCCAGATCAAGATGTACGTAATAGTATTGATGCAATCACTGGATGGTACTAGGGTTGTGGGTTCATGTACACACGTTGCATGTGCTATTTGGTTTCTAGCCTATGGACAGCACAAGGGGTGTGAAAGCAAAGGAAAGTGCAGAGTTTGACATTCAACGGATATGCCTGAAATGTTGTCATCTGTAGATGATGGTAATAGGTCCTAGTCTCTTATCACAAACAAACAATGAATGTCCTCATTTATACTGTTATATATAAAATTTGAACCAAATCCGTCAACTAATATTTAAGTTAGCAAAGATTACATTTTTACGAAAAATCGTGGCCATTTTGAATTGGGCGGCCAAACTGAAAATTTCTTCTCGAGCAGAGGTCCTACACCCCATGTCATAGGCTTATAACATTTGAATCAAGTATATCAACTGGTATTTGGGTTATCGTCCGGACAAACGGACGGACGAACGGACGACTTCTCTATATCCTTGCGAACTTCGTTCAGTGGGATAATCCAAAATATTATCACACTTTATGTTGCTGACTATGTTGATCTTATTTATTAGGGATAAACATACATTCCTAGAATCACCACAAGGTAGTAGAACAGAACCAACTGTGAGCAATTTACTTACATTATATTATGTTATATTTATAAGATAAATTATATGTTGGATACATTAATCGAAGTCATGTTATGTTTGAACTCTAAATATTAAACAAAAACTAAATAATTTAAAGCTGTACATATGTGTTAATGAGGTGGAATGAAATTTGAATATGTATACGATATGTTCAATATATTTGAGTTGTTGTAAAGTTGAACTATAACAGCAACGCCAAATCGTAGCACATCCCATCGAAAAGCCATCGTTGCCATTTTTACTAAATCGTTCTACTACTTTTCAGTTAATATATACCAAAAATCGTTACACAAAAATCGTCACCATTTTCAAAATGGTCGCTCACTAGCCAAATTGTCATACGAAAGTGCAATATGCTTCAAAGTACGGAAATATAAAATTTCAACAAAACCGCAAGCCAAGTTTTCAGAAGACAATGTGCCATGCTTATGAGTATTCACATACCAAATATGAACAAAATTACTCTATTATTTTTTGAGTAATAGTAACAAGGCACAGGGTGAACAATATCGTACCTAAATAAACAGCAGTGTGGACTTAATGACCCAGAAAGCAAGATGGCTTCCGAAAAGTTAATCAGTTCAAAAACTTCTTACCATGTATCATGTGTAAACATTTGAATTCCTGGAATCGCGATGACAAGATTTATCTAAAAACTTCCAAGATGGCCGCCAGAATGCAAGATGGCTACCGAAAAGTTAATCAGCTCTAGAACTTCTTACCATGTAACATGTATGAAAAGGTAAATCCGTCGAGTGGTTTTCCTGGAATCGTGATGACAAGAAAGTGAGACTCCGCCCGCCCGCCGCCCGTCAAGCTGATGACAATATCGTACCTTTTTAGGTACGATGAAAACACAAAATAACACACGTAAAAATGGCGGCCATTTCATAATGGCAGCTTTCTAGCCAAAGAGTCATAAAACAGTATGCCATGATTATAAGAATTCACATTTAAATATGAACAAAATCGCTTCACTAGTTTCGAGCAAAAATCGTATAATAGCATTTTTCAAGATAGCTGTCATGTGTATCTTAAATATCTACATTTCTAGATTTATTAATGTCCTCTATAAATTCTTCACATTGATAACATATTGCTAAATACAGGTTTATATATTTTACCTAAATTACTTAAAGTCGCCATTTTAAATGAGTGGCCATTTTGAAAATCGACTTTCGAGCAAAACGTCTACCCCTATAGGGCATGTGTGTATAAAATATGAGCAAAATCGGACCGATGGTATTTGGTTATTGCCCGGAGGGACATACGGGCGGACTGACAGACGGACGGAGGCGTTCCCTACACTGTATATCCCTGCGATCTTCGTTCGATGGGATATACAAATATTTGTAATCTCTTCAAATGTGGAGAAAATAAAGATAATACAATACATTTACAATGCAATGTAATACAATACAATACACTTCTATACAATACCACGTGTGTATCAAATTAAGCGTGACAGTTGAACGCACGTGGTAAGATACAACGCGAGAATGATGAAATTGAGCAAACTGATGTCATCGTTTCAGAAAGATCTGGTCTTGTTACCACATTCTGAGTTTGTGAAAATCCAATCAGGTTTGTGTAAGTTCAGGTAAATCTGATTATACCATCATCATTATGAGATCTAGTGAAGATGAACCAGGAGTGTTACAGCCATCAGTATTACACAAGACGTAGCTTCTGTACCACCGTTATTGTTTTGATTAGCCCATTCTACTGGATCAACCAGGGTACTGTCCTCTTCTACAGCCTCCTGCTCAATTACTACAACTATACTAGACGCTGCTTGCGCATACTGAAAATATTTTGAAATAAAATTAGTCTACCTCTGTCAGTTAAAATGCACTTCTGAATCTTTCAGATTTCGGTCAATTTTAACTTTGCTTCCTCCAATTTTTAATTACTGATTTTTTCTGTTTTGTTTTCTTAATCATTTCCTTTATTTGTAGTTTGACAGCTGATTTGTGTTATACTTAAACATCTAATTTTTTTTCTCATAAAGATTGAAAATATTAAAGAGTCTTAGAGATTTTCCATTCACATTACAATCGACATATATGTTATCATATTCCAGATTGTGCCAGATTTTTCTTCTGACTTGACATTTCTAATTTTCATGAAATGTGTTTATTAGGTTTTTTAAATGATCAAAATACCTCGGGTCCAACAGTATCACAATCAAATTCACAGTTGCTTTGTCTCTCTCCTTCTCCACTACATGCGTCTACGCAACTAGTTTGACGCTTTTCTGAATTACCAATTATTTGATCCTCAGGGCACCCAGTGATAAACATACCAGATGATACATCCAGGAGTGATTTAGAGATGCGAAGCACTACCACGGGATAGCTATCACTGAATGAAAAGAATAACTAACATTAGCTATGTTTGCACAAGTACCAAATGGAAAAGACTTCGATACATGAGATATATTACAGAATAAATCTGCTATTTTATCATTTCTCTTTCTGCAAGTTTCTTTCTCAATATTTTATCTTGACAATGTTAAAAGTTAAAAACAATGAAAACTGGAATTTGTCCAAATTATACCGAAACACTGTTAATATAAAACGTGTAATACCAGTTGAGGGATATAACTCGAGCAGTAATTACGAGACAGTACATGTATGTAAGTAATACCGTTTTGAAGAAATAATGTAACATACTTTCGTTTGGCAAATGATGCAAGAAAACCATGCTGTATACCCCGAACCTCCACATAGTTGACATCTTGAAGTGTTGTTGATTGAACGTCCACAATATTAATTACCTCATCGCTCCCATCCTCTCCTGTATTCATAAATACAGAGTGTTCCATATGTTTCAGGAATGAGGCTGTATTGGTTTTCTTTTCAATCTAGCTGAATTTTTGACAAAATGTGTCCAAATATATTGTGAATAAGTTGAGATAACTTCATATCATGAAACTCAGTAGATTTAATAATATGGTTGCTATAGTAACCCAGGGGTAGGGTACATGTAGGTGGAGCAGGTGTAACAGCGCGCAAAACATATGAAATATTTGTAAAAATAGTCATTTTTTGTATGAACTGTGAGTAAGTATTAGGTTGTCATAGTTGCATAAAAGTCAGAAATTAATCAAAAATGAATGTGGATTCCTGGAAATTAAAAAATTGCCATCATTGATGACATCCATCTTGAAAAGTCGTCCTGTTGGATCGGGATGATTTGGATCTGCAGAAGTGTTCTCATACGTCCACATTTTGAATCATCGGTCTCAGTTTCCCTTCCAGATTTTAACAGCTTGTACCACTCATTCACTCTAGAGGTTGCCATCATTGAGTCCCCATATGTACTCCTTAGGACTTTAATTGTGTCTACTACAGAAAACCTGTTTTCACACAGTCTTGCAGGATCGTTGTGCATTGGCTAAGTCGAAGTTCTTCCTTTGCTGATGACACTTTCACTTTTCAGCCGTTCAACCAGAATGACCTGTGATTATTCGCCTTTGTGACTCATGACATGACAGGTGTTTCAATTTTTAAGTCATCAGTGATAAAACTTTTTTATTTCCACGAATCCACCTTCATTTTTATTTAATTTCTGACAAAATAATGCAACTACCTGTATGATAACCTAAAACTACTCACACTTCATACAAAAACGGCTATTTTCATGTTTTTCGCACCTGCTCCACCGACCCTAACCCCGGGCCCTACCCCTGGGTTACCGTAGCAACCATAATATTTAGTCAACTGAACTTCATGATATGAAACTTTCTCAACTAATTCACAACATATTTGGACACATTTTCTTGAAAGTTCAGCTAGATTGAAGAGAAAACCAACAAAATACAGCATCATTCATGAAACATATGGAACACCCTATATGGAACTATTTTCCATATACCTTTATACAAAATCGGCCAGGTAAACCTGAGCATAAATGGGACAACTAATCCAGAGATGATCATAATTCTACACGTTCACTTACAAGTTTTATTATATACCTCAAATGTATTCTAGATGCTCATTGGCTTATTCATGGTCACATGACATGGAATAGATGAACTAATTCCCTGGAAAGTCCTAAATCCCTGCTTTCAGGGAAGATGAATTGTACTAATCACCAGTTAGGTTATGTGACCAGTCAATAGTACGTTTTATCTTCCCCCAAATCTGAGATTATAGGAGTTGAAAGGTAAAATGCCTTTGAATGCCAATAAGAACCTGTGAACATTTGATATTGAAATGACAAGACTTCTCATTTTGTTTTTGTTTACTGAGTACTTATCAGGTATATATTAAAACAAATAGTGACAGCCACATTTTCGGGAAATAGTGTAAAAATTTTCCTCTCGGGAATATCCTGTCCACTGACTTGTTCCCTCGGCCTGCAGCCTCGGGACCATGTCAGTGGACAGGATATTCCCTTGAGGAAAATATTTTGCACTATTTCCCTCAATGGCAGTCACTATTTGTACAATATTAAATAAAAAAAGCGTGTATTTCTAACCTCCCTATAACTTACCTGCTGCTGTGAGTAAATCTGATCCCGATCCATCAAAGGCTGTTGGTAAGACTCCACCACTGGCACTATATGAACCCATGTAGGCACCCGATGATGATCTGAATGCAATGTGGAACTAAAATGACAAGAATATCTTATTTTCAATTTTTATCGCACATTTTTGCATTCAGCTCAGTCAAGCTGAAGTGAAATCCACCAGTTTCATAAAAAAGGGATTTAGTACATAATTTCGATTTGATGCACTGAATACTTACCCCAGTTATTATGGTAGCCTTTGGATCCCCAGTGCTTCCAGAAACCTCACTAGTTGTCATATTTAGTGTGAACAGTGCATTCCTCAGCCAGACTCGGTTTCCTGGTGCAGAACAAGTTATCCAATCAGAGTCCTGGCTTTCATCAGGATCGTAGAACTTGCAATGCGGGTCACCAAAACACCGCAGAGTTTTTCGTTCAATTGAACGTGGTGTCTAAAGGCAGAAACAAACTAGTTGCTTATTTTGTTGAAGTTTGTATTGTTCTTAGTATTGAATTTTCTACCTTAAAGATTATTGTTTGAGACCATTAATGGCATAATTGAACGTTAAACGAGACTTATTTATAAGTCGAAGGTTGACTGGAAATCTACCAAGTTACACTGGATCTTCCTTCTCGAACGGAGCTCACATATTCCATAGCATAATATTGTTATTCTGTTCGTCCATGTATTCGGACAATAACTCAAATATCAGGACAGTTGACTGTTTAGATTCAAATTCTAAAGGTTATGTCCTATTCCTCATCCTAGCTATGCCTTATAGGTGTAGGACCACTGCTCGAGAAGGACTTTCAATTTGACCACTCAATTTAAAATGGCCACCATTTTCGTAAAAAAGTATTTTTTGGTTCAAATTGCATACATGTATGCATATGGTGATGTATGTATTGCAAATTGCATATGGTGATGTATATATGGTATAGGGAAACAGTAACTCTGCTAGAGAAAAACATTTCATGATGACAACTGACTCTCAAAATGGCCGCCATTTTTCGTAAAGAAACATCATCTTTGATCAAAGTACCAGTGAATAGGTTTGTTTTAAATTTTAAAAGCTGATACCTTGGAACAAGAGGGCTCTGTCCATGAAGAAATTTTCAAGATGTTTTGTTTGGTGGGATTTTCTACTCCGTGGAGTTGCTGTTTTCTAGTTTGGTACCAAATAATGATTGTAAATCATATATAATACGGTGGGATAGAATATTAGTGGCGTAACTGAAAATTCATTAAATGAAAGAGATGCGTGGCCTGACTGACTAATTTTACGGAATGGCGTTGCCTCCAATCGCTTCATTTACCCGAGATGTACCCTTTGCATTCGTTTGACTTCACTTCTTAAAAGAGAGCTTCGTCTTCAGTGTAGTTTAACTAGACTCTGCACGCAGGGTACCCGAGATGTTACTCTGTGTGGAAATGAAAGGGGAAATAAAGTTGATACGTGGTCTTGGCGATGCAATATAGTTTCCTCTGGAACTCAATAGAATATAACAATGACATTCAAGAACAAATGCATGTTATATATTTGCTGTTACAGAACTTAATTATGTACACATTTGATGTCATAAATTCATAATTATACTAAATTATAGAATAATTAATGCCTTAAGAGGGCGTGGCAACTCGTATATGTAGCGTATTTTCGTCAGTTACAATAGGAAATACGTGCGAAAACAATAATTTCATTCAAACAAAAAAGTTTCATGTTTTTCACTCGTATGTGTTTACCCTACTATCACACCAAACTAGTTCTCACTACGTTCTCGAAACGTGTTCAACGTGTGCAAGTTTGGGAATCTTTTCGAGAGATGGATGGGGAATGAGTGTTTTTGTTAAGATAACCTGTATAAGTGGGTGGCATAAGATAAATATCTTCGAACTATCCAAATCACTTCCACACTCCTCCCTATACTTCATTCGGAGTTTGTTTATGTTTAACTATATGAAGTTCATTGTCAAGTTCACCGTCTGGGATGATGTTACAGACATTTACATATAAAAATATCTAGAAAATTGTCCAGATCTTTCTGAAACGTTGAAAACATCAGTTTGGCCCTCACCCCACCCGTGTTTGGTACATGTACAAGCATAATCGTATGATCTGTAAAATGAAGCCCTCTGGTTGGTCAGTTCTTGTGCTGTACCAATCTGTATTGCTACTGAGATTGTCCCGATTGATCATCTCCGTAACAATACAAAAAATATTGGTACGAATGGGACAATCTCAGTAGCAATAGAGAATACAGAATATTTCCTAGAGATTGCCTCCTAATAAAATGTATTAGCCTAAGATCAAACGATAAAAATGTTATAGAATGATTTCTCGATATTCTGTATTGGCACTCGACTTCGTCTCGTTCCAGCACAGAATTTCTCGAGCAGAATATATCCTGTATTGCACTTCAAATCATTCAACAACTTATGATATTATTCATTTCTCGTGTTTTGTGGTCCAAATATTTCACAAGTAATATCGATCATTTTTTGATACGGTATGTTAAATTATGTTGTACTTTTCAGAGAATACTTACATATGCTATATTTTCCAAGTCCGTTTGCGATTCAAATCCATATTGTACTGGATAAGCCAATGCTAAATATTTCTTCAAGCTCACTCCAAAACTTTTGCACTCAGTTGTGAATGTTGTACTGCCAGAGTCTGGTAAGACTACATTTTCTAAACATGAGGCCATCCTCTTGAATGCCCTGAAATAATCTGATTACCATTAGCACTCTTCTGTATACATGTAATAACTAATAATTTAGACTCTAATAATTGGACTTGAGCTTTGAGGCATATCACCTGGAACTGAGACTAACATAACATTTTATGATGGTCTCAGCCTAGAAGAAGTAAGTACCTCCCATAATTGTTTGTTATTTCTTGGTTTCAGGGGTTTCTCCTAAGCTTTCCCCACATGATCCTATAAACATTATATCGATCTCAAGGAGGATCGGCAGCCCTTATTCAAACTCGATACTCTGTTGCCCGGAGTAGAACAGTTTAGTAAAAATATTTCCAAAGAATGATCTTTAGACCAAGTATTTCATTAGAAGATGTACATTCCGAATGTTATAATTTTATCAAATTTTCATCAGCAGTGCTCGTCTTCAAAATATGAGTAATATTGTTAGCAAATTGATCAACGCCAGGGAACGGAGTATGCATTTTGAATAGCGGCTTCCAATCGTCCTCCTATATCGCATGATATTTAAAATGGTGGACAAGTTATTTCGATTCTTATGGGATACAATACATGGATCTATCACATGGATACAGCGTGACCTAAAATAGAAGCAAGAGTTCTCAACAAAAGTAGGTACTATGCAAAGTCATGCAATATATAAAGTTACACATACCTATTGTTCTTTGGAATGGAATCACTAGCAGATTGCCCAAGGGCAGCAATCGAGAATATTTCCCCGCTACTGTAAATGTCAGGAATACATTCTTCATACTGATTATTTAAAGTTTCAAGATCTTCGAAACATGTTGGCAATTCAACCCCTTTTTGCTGAGCAAGTGCAGTCAGATCAGTACCATTTTGGTAGAAAAATGGGTACACATAAGCCATTGCTGAAAATACATAAACATACACAATAAGTATATACATGTTATTAACAAGTTTTATAGGATATGAGTTTATAGGATATTTAATTACCATTTAAGGAATTAGAAGGGATAGAGGGTGAACCTTTTTTCAATAAAGCGTGCAAAAAGAGATACATGTATCTGATCAAATCTGATATACAGTGTGACTCAAAAAAGAGTTACACTTCCAAAAGGTTCAATATATTTCATGATTTTGACTTTTCCCCTAAAATACACTTAGATATCAAAAAGCCAGTCTTTCTCGAATAAATCAACACCATCAGATTCGATTAAAATCCGTCCATGATTGGCTGCACAGGACAGATTTTATAGACACGTGTGAAATTTGATTTGCACCAACTTCTCAGTAGTTGGACATGTGGTGATCAATTCTTTTTTGTGTTTGGTGTGAATGCTGTGGACAGTGATATCTTGATATGATCAATGATCCAATTGTTTCTTTCTCGGATAGAAATTCAATATTTCATTGTCAGAGTGCTCAATTTTGTTACGTATGATGGCAATAGGATGATGCAAAGGCCTATGGCAGAATGTTTGGTAGAACTCTTGGAAATCAGAAGATATCATTGAATTACCACTTTACACCCTATATTTTTGAAGGACCTCTGAAAGTGCTTTACAGCATGACAAACTGACCTAAGTGAACTAATGCAAAAATAATTGATGGAATCAGTGTGATATAACAATGCATGTGCGCAGATTTACTTTTGAGAACATGTTGAGGGGACCACATGTTTATATGGATAGACCCAATGATAATTTGTAAGACGAACAGAAAAACTACAGAATGGCTCAGTTAAATGTCAAGCTTCTACTCAGATGAAAGTTAAATATTAAAGCAACTATTCTTCTTTTGTCATTTGGTCCATCCAGCCACTTAGAAGTTGGCGAAAGTCAAATTTTACCATGGGACACTAAAGACTGTTCTGTAGAGCAAATCAAGGACAGATTTTGAATCTGATGGTGTCAAATTATTTGAGAAAGATTTGTCTTTTGGTATCCAAAGTATATTTTAGAGGAAAAATCAAAATTATGAATTATATTGAACGTTTTGTAAGTGTAACATTTTTTAAGACACATTGTAGAAATTGTAGAGCTTTGAAAAAGATCACTAGAATTGTGAAAAGGATACCTTCTTTTTGAAAAACCATTGCTAAATAACCTTAAAGATTGACGGATCATCGAGAAATTAAGTCAGAACTAAAGCTAGTCGAATTTGATTACCCTCTCGCACAACTGTTTTTGTGGTGCCATCGCTGTTGCAGGCAAATTCCGCTTTTCCAATTAAGTTATCCAACATTAATTTAGTGGATGCATTCGCTTCATCACAGTTATTTGCTTCAGTCATAACATCACGTACACATGCCACATATGAGGCATATGGAGCCGCAGAGCCATCAGTCGAATCCAAGTATACCGTTCTTCTGTAAAATAGTTGTATGAAATTATGAAATCTCTATTCTATATCACTGGTGATCCACTCGATTACGCTGGTTACCAAAACGAACCGTTTTGGTAACAAAATGTCGGAACGTCGAAGGTACGATTTTTCTTTTTTCCTTATATCACGCGTTGTAGGCGCATTCCCCACGACTTTTTTTTCACAAACGTATATCAGTATCATATGTTATAGAAAATGTACATGTTTGCGAAAAAATAGCCCAGAAGACAACAGAATCGTCAATTTAATTACTCATTTAAAGGGAATAAATGCATATTATTGGGAAATTTAAGTTTTACTTTTGATCTTCATAGTATTTCCAATGGATTGATAAGTACCTGATCTTTCATTTGACACCAAAACACCTCAAACAGATCACATTAGAGTTGTCACTAGATTATCAAAAAATATTTTCAATCTATCAATTTATATATGTCAAGTTTTTAGCAATGCTAATGAAAGATGGCGAAGTTTTTTGCATGACATTATCCATTGATTTTGATAGAATTTTCAAACATACGCCATCTTTTAATCCAAGAGTTATCTAAAAGATCCACTTTGTGAAAAGTGGTGATTCACTTTTTTGGATCTCTGAACTTCAAATGCTGTTTTCTATGCGAGTAATTTTTTTTTCACTTCAGTATTATCCCAAATTAAAGTTTTAATCATATTTGATTGAGTGTGTGAGTAACATGTCTGAAATAATATTTCATCATTTTTTCTTCAAAAATAGGCATGTTGCCTGTTTAAGTTACATAAACGGTTTTTCGAAAAACGGTTAAGATCTGCACTTTTAACCCAAACCGTTTATGTAACTTAAGTGACGAATTAAATCGACGATTCTGTTGTCTTCTGAGCTATTTTTTCGCAAACATGTACATTTTCTATAACATATGATACTGACATACGTTTGTGAGAAAAAACGTCGTGGGGATTCTGCCTACAACGCGTGATATAAGGAAAAAAGAAAAATCGTACCTTCGACGTTCCGACATTTTGTTACCAAAACGGTTCGTTTTGGTAACCAGCGTAATCGAGTGGATCACCAGTGTATATACAAATAATGTAAATTGGTAAAACAGAAGTGTCACAAAGAAAAGAAAATGACTCACACTTGTTTTGATTCGATATCATTCAAAAAAAACTTAACGTTAATGGATTAAGTTATCTTTGGGAGAACTCATTCTACTATAAAGTAGCGGTCAAACTACCAGTGTAGGCTCACCGCTCGCAACCGTGTGGCTAATTATAGCCATGCAGACGGCGGTGTACGGTATGGCCATGCGGTGGCCGTTTCCTTGCCATTTAAAACGTTCAGGAAACGTTCAACGTTGTCAACCATCCACACCTGGCCAAAATTTTGAGCATGCAAAAAATGTTGGCTGGTTGGGTAACGTTCGACTGCGAACATTGATAGCGGTATCTGGGATTCAATGAGGATGAATCCGCTCAAACAACTTCAACAGAGATCCTTTTGAAGCAAAAAACAAGTTCCACATAGTGTATTTGTATAAATTATACACGACGAAAGTTACTAAATTGCAAAACATGATTAAAGCTCATACAAAAGTACAAATTAACAATAAATCAATAATTAAGCTACGGTATCACTATAACAAATATGTGAAGTATTCTGTGAATTTTCAAGTGATATGCTTCTGAGGTGTTTTCCGAGGTTTTGATTAGTAAAATATATGAAGTTGCATTTACCTACAAAGTATTTCACCAAAGTAATCGACCACTGCATTAATTAGAGCTTCTTTAGCTTCTGATTCGCTCATAGCATTTGTCACAATACTGGAGTAAGTGGGGAGAACATGCTGCAGTGCAAAGCTGCTATTTATAGCACTATTCCATCGATTCAAACTATCTTTGCACCAATAATCAGCAAAACTTAAGGCACTGTACTTCACACACTTTTCATTATCAGTACCACTTCCTGGGAAAGCCTTTGAATTCGGGTCTATTCCGGTGTCCAAATGTGCCTTGGTGCCCGATATCACTAGTTAAAGAGAAAAATATGAATGCATGATGAAATATGAGAGTAAATTAAGTGAACTACAACAAAAAAACCAGATCCAATTCAAATAATGTCTTAAGACATTGGAAGGCCCTATGATGCATATGGACCTATTATAAAAGTGACACCTGAACCTGTTGTATGTAAGGCCTTTTATTAAACTGGCTTACCAGAACACGTTGCATGCCCTATGCTTCACATATACAAGACTTATTATAAAACGAACGCGTGGCATGCCCGGTGATCATGGTGTGAGGCCTCTTTTAAAACTAGCTTACCTGAACCATTGGCATGCCCCATGATGTATCCATGGGCTTATTATAAAGCTGACTTGCCAGAACCTATTTCATGCCCTATGGTCCATATATGAGCCTATTATAAAACTTGTTTATCAGAACCCGTTGCATGCATTATGGTCCGTATATACTGTATGAGCCTATTATAATACTTAACCCGTGACATGGCCGATGCTCCACTTGTGTAGCCTATTATAAAACTAACTTACCAGAACCCGTTTCATGTCCTATGGCCCAGTATATATATAGGTCTATTATAAAAGTGACATATGAACTCGTGGTAAGTCCTTTGCTCCACATGTGAGACTTTATTATATAACTGACATACTAGATCCTGCTGCATGTCCTATGGTCCATATATGGGCCTATTATAAAAGTGACACCTGTATGCCTTATATAGTCCACATGGGGGTATATTATAAAACTGACTTCCCAGAACAAGTTACATCCATATATGGGCCTATTATAAAACTGACAACTGAACCCATTGCATGCCTTATGCTCCACATGTAAGACGTATTATAAAACGGACTTCCCAGAAACCGTTGCATACCCCATGATACCAACATGTGGTGCCTACTATAAATCGACTTACCTGAGTCAATTGGTAGGGAAAACAATCCATTTAGAATTGAGGCTATGGAACCCCCTGATATTTGTGAGCTATTGGCTCCTGATCCCGTAGTGCTTAGAGGTACCACCGTGGTTGCAGCAGCGTCAGTGGTGCCAGCAACTTCCGTAGTAGCAGTGCCATTCGTGCCAGCAACTTCCGTGGTAGTGTCATTACTGCCAGCTACTTCCGTGGTACCAGCGCCAGTAGTGCCAGCAGCTTCAGTGGTACCAGCGTCGGTGGTGCCAGCAGTTTCAGTGGTACCAGTATCAATGGTGCCAATAGCTTCTGTTGTACCAACGTCAGTGGTGCCAGCAACTTCCGTGGTACCAGCGTCAGTGGTTCCAGCAACTTCCGTGGTACCAGCGTCAGTGGTGCTAGCAGCTTCCGTGGTAATTCCAGCGCCAGTGGTACCAGCAACTTCTGTGGTGGTATCATTATTCGCTGTTTCATCAGCAGATGTGCAATTAGCTGAAATTAATATCAACTGGCATCATTTGGACATTTTATATGTACGTGTATTAAACATATATAAAACAATACAATAATAATACAATATTGGTGTCGGCCTATATATAATATAGTATATATCAGGTGTCCCAAAAAGGACTAGAATTTTCTCAGCAATTACAGGCTCAAAATCATTGAAAATTTCTATAAAGTAACCTTAGGGTATTTTCAGCAAGTTATGCAAATATGATAGAAATCGGTTACACATTATGTGAGAATTGACTAATTCAAAAATGCATGTCAAAAATCCAATATCAGAGCTTGCACAATGAGACTTTCATAGCGTTTTTGCTTGCTATCAGGTGATAAATGGTCAATCTGTTCTAGTCTCAAAAACAGCTTATCTGTGGGTCTAAGCGTGCACGCGGGTATTTATTTATTCTTCTTTTTTTAATACACTCTGTCCAAACTTTCAGTATTGAGGGATAAACAATGCCATTGGGTGATTAGCGATACGGCTATACCACTGAAAACTGTTTCAAGGTGAAAGGATTGGGTGGAAGATCAATCGTAAAGGAATAAGTAAATTTAAAAGAAATCGTAAAAGGCCGGAGTTAAGATTCATTTTTTCTGTAAGTAGACGTATGAACAAAAATGCACCACATTCAACATGCATTAAAGGACAGTATAATTATGTAATAGGAAGCAATATTGATGGAAGAACGCACAAGAGAATTTCTGCTTGAAAAAACTGCTTCTTTCAGACTAAACTAAGTGGCGATAGCCTATAGGATTTTTTGACATGCAATTTTGAAATTGTCAGTTCTCACCTAAATGTAACCGATTTCAATCATATGTGTACACCATGTTAATAATACCCTAAGACTACTTTATAGAAATTTTCATTTAATTTGAGCAAGTTATTACTGAGCTTTTCACTTGAAAAGAGTGCACGTATGTACCTTGAAAAGACTGGTGAGAAGATTTGTTTTGTAAAATGTATAAAAAACGAGAAAATTCAGTGAAAAGAAATTCTGAATTTTTTTTGAATTTTTTCACTGAATTTTCTTGTTTTTTTATACATTTCTAAATGTTCTATGAACATTGAAACAGGTTTTTGATTCAAGAAATTTTTGTTTTATGGCATTTGTTGACACATTCTTTAGGAAAATAATATACAAGGCATGACATTAATCGGGACTTCCCTTCTATTCAAATGAAAACAGTTTTCATTTTCATTTTACACGCGGTACTAACTCACCGGGTATCGAAACCAAAACGCCCCGCAAAACCGTTAATTTGAATTTCAAACCTACCCATTCTTTGGAAAATCAATGATTGTGAGTGGTGTGGTATCATAGTAGACCGTTTTTCTTCAAACTTGTTTCATTTAAACCTTCACAGAAATACCTTTCAGTCGAGACATTGCTTTTGTGTACAGAGTCACTCATTTTAGAGGCGTTTAGGTCCCCAGATGTGAGAAGATGCAAATCTTCAGAGATTTTAACCAAAAGCCTCGATATATCACCAGTTCCTTTATTATTCTCCCCTATATTTTGCACAAGGACTCCCATTACAACCCTCCACCTCTGCGTTTTGGAAGACAACGGGGCGTTTTGGTCAATTTCGAACAGTTGCGTAGGACTTTTTTTAAATTGCTGCGTTTAATGTAATAAATATGTTGATGCAGCGATGGAGGGTTGTAATGGGAGTCCTTGTGCAAAATATAGGGGAGAATAATTAAAGAACTTGCGATATATCGAGGCTTTTGGTTAAAATCTCTGAAGATTTGCATCTTCTCACATCTTGGGACCAAAACGCCGCTAAAACGAGGGACTTTGTAAGAAAAGGCAATGTTTCAACTGAAAGGTATTTCTGTGAAGGTTTTAATGGAACAAGTTTGAATAAAAACGGTGTAGTGTGAGACTCACAATTATCGATTTTTCAAAGACAGGGTAGATTTGAAATTCAAATTAACGGTTTTGCGGGGCGTTTTGGTTTCGATACGCCCCGAAGAGTTAGTACCGCATGTGATTTTAGTGACCATGGATGCAGTATGCATTTGAAACTAGTAAAATCAATAAAAATAAATAAAAATGCACTTTGTGACAATGAACACTAATAAATAGAATCAACATAGCATGCCTCTCTTAGGATCTGGAAACAAGAGTTTCTATATAAATTACCATAAAGTGTTACAACACATTGGAAAGAAGCAAATCATATTCAACTAACACACAAAAACATAAGGACTAGTGTCCAAGTCGTGTATTTTAAAAATCTGTACACACACCATCATACGGAATTTTAGAGCTGTTCAGACACCATCATTTTTCGAAACGAAAAGCAGTGATATCTCAAAAATATGTGTTCTCTGCTTGTGACTTTAGGTTCTTTTGAAAGACTGAGATAGTATGCATTAGTGGAGCGACATAATGCTGTTAACAAAGTATAAATATGAAAAATAATATTTTTCTGGCTTAATCGAAAAGAACTTACAACCTGTTCAGACACCATCTATTGCGAAGGTCACGTGATGACTATCCCCATCGTGATGTAGGAAGAAGGTTGACATGATAACAGGAATAAAATAATGCTTCTGTACACAGGGATGTAGCTGATATGCAATGTTAATATTTTCCTCCAATCTTATTATTTATAATTTAATATTAATTACTCAGATGCGAGTTGGTAGTTACCAGTTTCGCCACCAGGTGGCCGATTCGAGGGAAATAACAGGGCGGGGTATTACAAAACTCCCTTAAACTTGAATATTCATCAATTTTAGTGGTTCACTTTTCATATTACCTTTATGTATGTGATAGTTATACCAAATTAAAATATGTCTAGTAAAAGAAAATATTATCTCCCCAGCACAAGAAAAGATATTTCCATTTTTGTGATTTTACAACATGGGGGCTATGAGGAATCTCCCCGACCTAGAAGTCACATTTTAAAAGAAAATTAAATTTTCAAAGTTGATAAACTCTTTTTAAAACCATATTGCTAGATGTAATTTTACATGTAGATTCCAAATATGACATCAGTTTGACTTAATTTTGAATTTTTAATGACGTAAATCAAGATTATTTCTACTCGCATCTAGGCTATTGTAGGGAGTCAATGGGTCTAAACTGAGCATAAACTTTCATTTTTATCCTGATTATATTTTTTATCAACGGTTATTCTTCAGTAAGAACCCATCACTTTTAAAATTAAATAGAAATAATATTCAGATTAGCTCTCTTTTAATATTGATGCAGAACAATAATCCTAATAAAATTTATGGATATTTTCTAGACACAAACACGTAACACAATGGAACTACTGTTTAAATTACTAGCATGGTCTTTACGAATTATTTTCAATATATGAGCCAGGTCACAGGAAAAGGGGTCTTATCACAAATTTTTTCAATGTTTTGATTTTTTGCTTTTCTTAAAAAGCACAGAGACCTTTCAAATGAGCCATGGCTTGTGTATCAACAATTATTTCTTGCACATATAGACCAAAAATTCTGATTTGAATAACGCAAATGCGAGTAGGTAGTTACCAGTTTCACCACCAGGTGGCTCGCTCGGGTTAGATAGCATGGCGGGTATAGTAGAAAGTTCATTTTAACTTAAATTACATCTGTTTTAGTGGTTCAATTTTCATATAGCCCTTATGTATCGAATAGTTATGCAAATTAAAGTATGTCCAGTAAAAGAAAATGTTATATGTCCAATTCAAGAAAAAGATATTTCACTTTTTGTGATTTTGTAATATGGGGTCTATGGGGAATCAACCCGAACTAGAAGTCACATTTTCAAAAAATATTAAATTTTTAAAGTTGATAAACAATTTTTGAAACCATATTCTTAGATGTATTTTTACATGTAGATTTCAAATATGACATCACTTTGACTGAATTTTGAATATTTAATGACGTAAATCAAGATCATTTCTACTCGCATCTAGTCTATTTAGCACATTTTCCTCTTAATCTTGGGCACATTTTTGGCTCTGTAGCACAATTTAAATGTTTGTGATAAGACCGGTTTTCCTATGGCGAGGCTCATATATATAATACCGCACATGCCAATTTCAACAAGATATTTGATCTCTCATTACGCCCGGTGTAAAAGAAATTACGACCCCCAGGGATTATGGTCCCCTTCTTAACGGTCCTTACTGGCCCCGATTGTGTATACTGTAATAAAGGAAAGAGGTCATCATATAAATCAATGGAGAGTAGGACCATACTGTGATAGGACCTCCTACCCTTTTACACTGGTATTCGAAAACATTGAACGGATTATTGTGGCATTTTGAAATACTTACAGCCATCCCATCCAAGACCTTCATCACATGAACATGAATATGCCCCATTAGTATTAGTACAGGTAGATCCTTCATCACATAAATCGGTCCCCAAAGCGCATTCATCTATGTCAACACAACTTGCTGAAATATATATATTCATAATAATGAATGAATCTAAACTCATGTACACTGTATTATGTAATCTCTACTTTATTTAGAGTCCATTTCACTGCTTCATTCCGTCAGTAGAACGGCAAAAATAAGAAATTGGGAGACCATTGTGCAATAATATATGTAAAAGTATATTCATAATGTACATGAATGACATTTGTATATTTCAGATTTTTTAGTTTTTTGTGCAATAAGCCTGTGCCGTCTTGTAATTTGAAAAATTTCAGCCATGTTAATCTTATTGAAAATAACATGGCAGAGAAACATCCAAATATAAGAGGCCACACACTTTATAAGCCAAACTAGAAGCAATCCAAGATATACAAATGTCATTCATGTACATTATGAATATACTTTTCCATATATTATTGCACAATGGTCTCCCAATTTCTTATTTTTGCCGTTCTACTGACGAAATGGAGCAGTGAAATGGACTTTATACTAGTAGTGATATCAATTGGCCAAGTTTGAAATACTTACAGCCACCCCATTCAAGACCTTCATCACATGAACATGTATATGCCCCATTAGTATTAGTACAGGTAGATCCTACATCACATAAATCGGTCCCCAAAGCGCATTCATCTATGTCAACACAACTTGCTAAAATATATATATTCATAATAATGAATGAATCTAAACTCATGTACACTGTATTATGTAATCTCTACTTTATTTATACTAGTAGTGATATCAATTGGCCAAGTTTGGAATACTAACATCCATCCCATTCGAGATCTCCATCACATGAACATGTATATGCCCAATCAGTATTCGTACAGTTAGATCCTTCATCACACAAATCGGTCCCCAAAGCGCATTCATCTATGTCAACACAACTTGCTAAAATATATATATTTATAATAATGAGTGAATCTAAACTCATGTACACTGTATTATGCAATCTCTACTTTATTTATACTAGTAGTGATATCAATTGGCCAAGTTTGAAATACTTACAGCCACCCCATTCAAGACCTTCATCACATGAACATGTATATGCCCCATTAGTATTAGTACAGTTAGATCCTTCATCACATAAATCGGTCCCCAAAGCGCATTCATCTATGTCAACACAACTTGCTGAAATCAAAAGAATCATGTAAAATAATCATAACATGTACATGAGAAATGTAATACCTCATTCACATGGCAAAATGGTCGTGCCAATCCAGCACTATTTTATGACCCCCCGCACCTTAATGAAAGGGGCACGCCAATAATAGCCTCTCACATAAAAACATTATATTACTGAACATCCCAAGAGTCAACAAGGACAGCTATCAAAGAAATAGTGCCGTCACCATCTACGAAGCCTCCAAACCATTATCATCAACTTAACCTTCCGAATGCCAACCATAAAAATCAATACAGCCATGATTCAATCAACCCAACCCAGCTACTGTCAAGCAGTTTGACCCATGGTCAACAAGCCAGGCACTTCAGAGAGTTCTAATGCCTGTATCCCTCCATAGACAATAACTGTTTCTGTATTTTAATCATGGTATGTTAAATATCATGGCATACAGGACACATATTACAGTATTGACTGTACGCATCTTAATCTTCAAAACCAAAACATATTCAGTGAAAGGTGCTGCAATATTGCCATTTAAGTTTTTGGTATTACAATACTCTGTACTCTGTAATACTTTGTCATAGCATTTATTTAAGTAGTTTAGTCGAATTAGAACTCAAGTGCACATTTTTTTATTATATAGGGTATAACTCATTTTGTCAGACATTAAACTAGTTAGTTTTTACTATCTTTATTATCTCGGGTATTGCTCATTTAGTCTGACAATACTATACTACAGGCAGTAAAAATTAGCAAGCTATAGGTCACGTACGCAAGTGCTAAAGTCATTTACGAACCGTTTTGGTAACCAGCGTAATCGAGCGGATCACTCCCGGGGGATCACTAGTGATGATGCCAAGACCTTCCAGGAATATGGTGACAAGATATTCAACAAATACATCCAAGTTCAACTCAACAATGTCATCCATCTAGATATTGTTTGGGACAGTTATGAAACGAACAGTTTAAAGGCTGGTACAAAGTATAAGAGAAAAAATGGTGAAATCCTGAAAATTCCCTACCTGGAAACTGGCAATATATTGTTTGTGCTTTGAATCAAATAAAAGAGAACTGTTCCAAATCATTACTGTATATGTGAGCAATATAATTGTACAGGAAACAAAAACAATCCATCAAAGAAATGTCACCTTGCATACTTGGGGAAGCAGATACAAGGATGAAAGTCACCAAGCCATTATGATCCGATGAACAAATATGGATTGCATTTGACAAGGGGGACACTTCAAGAACTTGGCAGCACATGAAATGACGAATTCCATTGGCACGTCTACGTCTGTCATTATTCCACTCACTGACAGGGTGCGATACCACATCCGGGTTCCATGGCCGGAGCAAAATCACATCAAAATTGGGACAGATGGAACTAATTTCCACAACTGATGAATGCACTCCTCAGTCTAATAGATGGTTCTTCTAAACTGCCAGATTTCTTACCTGTTTTAGAGCTCTTTGTTGTGTTACTGTATGATAAATCTAGAAATAACACCACAATCAACATTGCAATGAAGAATATATTTCTAAAGAAGACCACTTCATTATTGAACAAATTCTTTCAACAGCTGATCATGATGCCTTAATGCAACACTGCTAAAGAGCATTGTACCAAGGTGTTCATATCTGGGGTCAATTGAACAAACCAAGTCCTATCATTCCCCGGGTATGATTCCATTCCCAAAGAATTGAGGCTGGAAAACAGAGCCAGGACACAACACTTGAAAGCCAAAATGGATTAAAACAGATGGCTGATGATAGTCAAGCATTTGGGTCATTAGCTGGGATATTACATATTACATTGCATGCCAATAAACCCAAGACATCATACAATTCACACGGTCACTTGATATTTTGAAATACGTACCTCCATCCCATTCATAACCGGCATAACAAAAGCACACTGACCCTAAAATAGAAAAAAGAATACGTTTTGCTTTGTTGTCTTATGAATAAAACTTTGCTCAATATTTAAATATCTGCGTATTTATATTTACACTTTTACAATTTTTTAAGGATTCTGAATCTGGAGTCGAAAAAGAAAACTGACTTCCGGCTCACTAGTCCATGATATGAATCCGGAATATGAAGAATCCGTAACATAATACAGCGCAGCAACATTTGAACCAATACTTAAGGAGGTCCATACATGTATGTCTTTTGAAAATATTGTTTGCTGAAAAAATTGGGCTTTTGGGTTAAAATATTTCTTTCATCACAAGGGGTAAAAAAACGTAAACAATTACATTCGAATTTTTATCCATTTTAGACCCAAGACGTTTATCTAAGCACATTTACAAACTGAAGTATCATTATGCACAAAAATTAGTTATACTTTTAATGTAATTGTCGGTGGTTGATTAGTGTAATTATGTGTGCTTTTATATTTTGTTTAATGTTTCAAATATTGGTCAAGCAGATTCAACAAAATTGTGCGCATTATTTAAAAAATGATAAAAAATGATACAAGGATTTTACAATTTGAAAATGTTAATATTCAAAAAATCACCCCTATCATCGCCAGGGGTCAACTTAAAATAATTCCTTATGTATAACGAAACATAAATAAATGTGTGATTCAAATAGAGATCTATTTGAATGATAAAGAAGTATTGGAACCTTTATTTATTCAGAGGCTATGTCTATTAGTCCATAAGAGGCATATGCAATCAAACGCATTTGCATTCTCTTTCGATGGTACTGCTGCAGACCATCACATTTTCAAATAATTATATCCTTTTTACATCACATTTTTGGTTAATATTAAAACATATTTTTCTAAAAGTTCCATGAATTCGGTTGGTTGTTTTATAATCAACTGAGCAGTATCTAACAAGGGGCGAAACAATTTTAAGGTCATTGAAGGTCACAACTCAAATCTATATTCAGATTTGAACTTTGGAGAACTTTTAAATGATTTTGAAAAAATGGTCGATTTGTAGCAAGTTGAAAAAATGCCCTGCCCTGTCCTGTCCTGTCCTGTCCTGTCCTGTCCTGTCCTGTCCTGTCCTGTCCTGCCCTGCCCTGTCTGACATCTCCTCATAGATCGTTTGACTTTGGGCCCACATACTTGGTCAACATACTAAGTGGGCCGGCGAGCATTCTACGTAAGGTCAACATTTGGTAAAATGTCAATATCTAGGAAATTTGCTTTTGAACAACCTTGACGACCTTGAATTTTGATTTTACAGAAGATAAGGTAACTGGTATGCGGTGTAGCTTATTATAAACGCATCACCATTTTATACTTTCTTAAGAACTCTTGGTATACCATGAGGGTTAGGCCTACGCCACCTCTGAAAACGCGGTTGAATTGCTACGTTCACTGATTCATCCCATAAAATGGCCACGATGGAACAGAAAGTTAAGATGGGTGCATGATTTTCTACTACTGTGTATCAATGAAATCATGAAGATTTATATAAGCGTCGCATTCGGTGATGCATTCAGTAATGTATATTTTGAAAGTAGTGTTTGCAAATTGATGCCCGGGAATAACTTGAAATAAGCGAAAAACTGTCGAGTTTGAAATTCAAAACTACATATTTAGTATTTTTTTAATTTTCCTCGTTAGGGCATGGTCTACATTGCCTATAAACCTTGGTGTATATAGATGTAACCTCCATACGACCACGCAAAATATTGATGGACAGATACGCAAACCTTGTTCATTCATGAAGCCACAGATTCATTTCATATCGCTTGTGATCCAAAATTGAAATGTTGCTAGATATCTTTCAACCGGATTTCTTACATGTTTTTACAATAACATGGAAAAAGGCTATCACAACTATCAACCTTGATTTGACAGGTGTACATGCATGTAACCGTCCACTAAATATCTAATGTACAACTAATACAATACGTTACCGTCCTTAAAAAACATGTAATTCATACGTGGTCGTCTAGCGACCCTGCGATTGAAACCTTATTATTAACAATATACACCACATTCCTGTCCCGGATTTTTTATTATATACCTTTATACAAGTTTACTTACAATGGACTAAAAATTATGAACTTGGGTATCTCAGCCGGTAGGTTTAGAGCTTATATTCTGCTTCTTGTACATGGCAGATTTAATTCAAGCTTTATAACCATCCATATAACATGTATAAGTTATATTTCACCGAATGGAACTAGTTTAAAAGGACATCTTACCTGTGAATCTTGCCTACAGGCATAAAGAGGACATGCTGTCTTTACCATCCGCCATTTTATGTTATCGTTTCCGAAAAATTTTGCAAATCGCCTAGACGTAACCGTCATGGTATACCAGGGTGTAAGGCTCTCGAGGCCGCTATGGTATGTCTGGTATTGCAGCCTCGTTTTGGATAAACACGCATGGCTGGATCGCGTTACCTCTGTCGATCATGGAAACTCATGTTAATTTATGCTCATCTCAAGCCCCCTTTTACGTTAATGCAAAGCACACAACTAACAAAAGTGTTTACCTTCTGTACATGGTGTTAGCGTGTAATGAGAAGCCGTCCACCAGTAAATGTGAACTACATACAGAGGAGTCTGTATAGATTCCGGATAGTTTGGATCTTCGTTAAAATAAGCCACGATAGAGCCTCCTAAAGTCTGACCTATATACCACGAATTAGACAAAGGCCCATAATACAGATAGATAGCAACATCCATTCGTTTATACACTGGGCTATCAGCATAGGTGTCCTGTTGTAACACATATACACCAAAAATGTTAAACGAATTAGGGTGTGCATAAGTGTCATCACCTTCCAAGTACAGCCATTGAACTGAAAAAAATGAAAATGACAATAAAATTATATTAGATGGAATCGAACAACGCATTCAGGCATTCTGTTTTTATACTTGCTGCCAAAATACCCATTCTGTCCAAAATGAGCACGATTTTAATTTTTTTTAATACAGAATATTACTGTTAAATGTCTGAGACACAAACAAAAGTAGAACCAACGATTTTGAAAATACTAGTACATTAAAGGCATCCGTTGAACCTTCGAAAGCCGTCAGTGATTAGACAAAGAATCGAAAGATTTATGTAATATCCAAATTCTCATCTCATCTTTATTTCGATGAGATAGAAAATATTAACTTTCAAGCCCAGAGAACGGCGAGGGTGCACATTTTACGAAGAAATGAAGTCTGACTTCTAGATCATTGTTAACCAATTCACCGTACAGGTTCAATCACATTGAAACAACACCTTTTCATCTATTTCGACAATAAAATACATGGTCCTTTGACTGAATTTTGAATTTCAATGACGTAAATTATTTTTGAAATTTCATATGACAGTCAGTTCTAATTATTTTGGGACGCTACGCATTGGGCAATCGGAGACTTTATGTAAACACTTCATGTAAATTGAAATTCCCTGCATAATTATCGACACATGTTTAAAATTCATGAAAACAAGGTTGAACATGAAACATCGACCTAGTTACTGTCTATTTATAATGGAATCACTAAGGGAAATATCATTAATGACTTAAATCGTCAACAGATATGTTGTATTCCAAGAAACTTATCAAATGTTCAATTTTGTTTTATAATTATAAAGATTGTCACCGGCTGTAGAGAACAACGTTTACAAAATTATTTAAAACGGAGATATTTTCTTACGTAACATTCGTTGGCATGTGTCAGGGAGTAAATAAGAAGAATGTTCTTTTGATATTATATCTTGTTCCCAAAGGATTTTTTCAGGAGCGGTATACCTTAACGTACTTTTATCATCCCGAACTCAAACATTTCGAATACTTATTTCGCGAATGTTTTGTTGAGAATTGATTCGAGATGTACTAAAAATTAAAACGTTAAAATGTGTATTATCATCTTAATAACCATATAAGTTTATCAAAATGGAACAAACTCTTAATCTTAGAAATGAAAACTGTGCCCTGTAGCAGAGCGTATTGAAGAACTAATTTTTAGAATTTGTGAAGTTCAGAATTTAGTTGTAAATATCATTAGTTACTTGACTTAACTGACAAAATGGTGGAGTAAATCCTGAAAATGTCAAAGATATGAAGAAAATAGTGGTAGGGGTTCCAGTTTTTTACCACCCTACCAAAAGATGGCTTTTAAAACGAAACATTACATGAATGGTTGACAGAAGAGCTCACCTGCACAGGTATGATTATCGTCTTGCAAAGTAAATCCATTGTTACAGCTGCATTCGTATGATTCGCTGTTATTTGAGCAGGTATGCTCACATCCACATTCGTTATCATCTAAATTAAATAATAACATTAATATGATTCAAACAAGTTGAAAAAAAAGTATATCCAACTTCAAGGCCAGGATACTAAAATTCTCAAGCATTTTTTAAAAATACAAAGGTAGCAGTAAAAGGCCCATTTTGTCCTCCATCCACTGGTACCTAGATCATTATGTAACTGTCATGGATGACAGAGCAATCGTGACTTTTATGAAATGTGGTAAAATCAGTACTGTGCCAAGTTAGAATTCAAGTAGGAATGACAAAGTGGATGTTTTTTTGTGTTCAAAACATCA